TCAAAGGATCGGCTTCACTTGTCTCTTTGACGAGTTGTTGTATGGTGCTAAGAATAGCGATACTCACTGAAGATGCCGACGAAACGTTTGGGAATGTAGCACGTCCACGGTTAAACTTTGGAAATGATCGTGCAGACAATGGACTCCGGACTAGGTACGTTCCTCTAAGTCTTCCTACCAATATGGTTATGTTGCGAAAACAAAGTGAAATCTACACTCTTAGAATCTCTTCCTCAGGATATTTAAATAAAAAAATTTAGAGAATAAATGTGTAATTCCTTGTCGACCATTTTCCTCTGCTTCATACAATCTACTAAAATGACTTGTTAAAAAATGTACCTTTACCGTATTCGGAAAACTCTGATTTGGTTCCTCTTGATTAGGGGGTTTTTAATTTACGATCCACATCCAAAACTCTTTGTAATCTGACATTTATGCCACTCTCTTACTAAGTCGTGGGCTAGTCCAAGTTAATCAACCGTAGACTAATATATGAAGAAAAACTGGGTTTCGTAGAATTCCTTGCTTATATATTGTGATATGATTGCATCTCGAGGGAAATGTTGGTCGTAAAGAATTCGTGGAATGGTCTCACCGGAAACTGAAGGAGGTCTTGTCGTGTAGGGAAGACTGTTGTATTGTGCGAAGATGTCCTCAGCTCACCGTTCTGCGACCCCGATGAGCCTGTCCTTAGCTTTTGTCTCTACTGTAACGTCATCAGAACAAGAATTCATGCTTAACGAAACAGCGCAAAAAATATATTCTATACTAAAGAGTTTGAAATACTGAAATATTTACTCCTGGAAAATAATTATTCTTTGGGTCTAATTATTACTAATATCTCTTTACTGAGGAATAGCTTTTCAGATGATAACTTTTTGGTTAAAGATATACAAGACGATACCCTTTCTCACATCCTAATTATGCCTTCATTACTTCTTTCTAAAAAGATAAGCGAACTAATGAGCAATTGGTGGATAAATAATGCTCAAAGAAACCCTCACGCTTTATTTGATTATGCAATTTTTAGGTTGAACTGTTACCCATTATCGAGATCTGGCTCCTACAAGATTGTGCCTCTGGGGTCAATCTTATGTTGGTGAGAGATGTCAGCCTATTCGCCAAAAATTAGGTAAACACAAAAATGCTTGCAACGGCAGTTTGGCCTAATGGTCATGTCTCAAACGAGTAGGCTTGCTGATTATGGTACGTATTCCGCTAAAGGGAAGATAAGAAAGTCTACTGAAATTAAAAGATTAGGGAACACTTTGAAAGAAGGCGATTCAACCTTTCAGCTTAGTGATAGTTCTTATCTCACATTCGTTAATACGTAGGTTAGGCTCATCAAACAAACCAGATGGAATCCAAATCATATCTCTTCTTGGGTCGTTAACCTTTGACGACCCAAGACTGAGAGGCAATGGGAGGTGGTTTCTTAACCTTACATGCTTATACACTTGCATCTCATTCTCAACCAGACTTTCCTACGGACTTACACAGTCTCGATTAGGATTTTTCTTGGGTCATTAAGCCTTGATGACGCGAACTTGACAAAAAGCTTTTTAATCACTCTGATTC